TTCTGATATGGCTCTGGTGCGTCGAGGGAAGACGGGGGCGCTCGTGTTTGCGAAGGTAATGGAAATTGGCCTGTTGCTTCGAGATTGCCACACCGAATCCCAGAAGATTCTACCTCTTTACGCCTCTTGTTTTGTTGAGTTGTCTTTATCGTACGATGTGTGGCACACCATTTCTTGCCTGCTTCAGGTTTCTTGTCACATACGGGATTGGCAGTGCATTCCCCGTTCCGGCCGCGGTCCTGTAGTCGCTTGCGACACTTGTTTTATGGATTCTCTTTCATTTTTCCTTTTAACTGTAGGGAGCGTATGATAGCATGTGAAGCGGGATGCGAGGCGGAACGCGAGGCGGGCCCTGAGGCGGGCTGAGGCGGGCTCTGAGGCGGGCTGAGGCGGGCTGAGGCGGGCTGAGGCGGGGAGGTGATGGAGCTAATACTATTATTGTACTAGTAGAGCGTTGTGAGCCAATCATAGCCGTTGAAATCTTTAGCGGCTCGCTAAACTTGCCTTAACCGAGATAGCTTTTGCAAGGCACTTTTGTTACTCCCGCGTACTACGAGGTGTTTCGCCGATAGGCACAAAATGTATCAGTCAGAATGAATTGAGCCGAATCCTTGAGTTACCCAAGGTTCAGATAGAACTAATTATATAGTCTATGCACGTGACTGTGGATTCATTGGCGCGAGGGTTGGCCTTCCTGAGCCTCCAGTTCAGAGCATCGTGACGGTTACGCCTACTTACTCTATTAACCTAACTGCAAAAGCCATGCAACTACTTACAACCTACCATATTTGCACCTGCGATAATCCTGTCTTGGACTTTCAAATTGCTGTAATCGTGCCAAGTCACTTTATATTGGCTTAACGAGTCCCAAGATTTCGCTCTTGAGCGGTATCTTGATGCTATCGACAATGTTGACTTTGATATTCATCGTGAAACAGTTGAGTAACAGGTGAAACCGCTCCTTAGGGTTACGCATATAGGTATACATGAAGTTGCGCCTAAGGTTGGCAAGCTTTCGACACGACGATGGCTTGCTGGGCCAATAGCGACGATAGCACCTCCCACGACAGCTCAAATTCGATAATCTCTGACTGGAGAGTGCTTTAATGATATTCCATGAGTTCATAAGGCTGTAGGACTTAGTTGCTGTATTTTTTATATCTATTTGGCTCAAATTGACCATTAGAATATGTTGTTACCATTGGAGCGATCATAATTGTTGAGGTGATAAGTACGTAGGCTCTTACAGAGCATGGGCAATCTTATTGAAGTTCTGCTACAGCAGTTGTCGGATCTGAGTAAACTTTTCTTTCTTACACGTCCATGCGATTTCATACAGCCTTTCGCTACACCACGCTCTAACCGCGCTTTTTGCAACGACTAACTCTTTTTATGATCGTTATAATAGCCCCTGTTTTCACCTTTCACTACATGAACGTCCTGCTGTCGCGAGGGGACCGTGGTTAGACTTAATTTATTAGCTTGTACATGTAAAGATTAGTGTATATATACGTACTGTACGCACTTGACCACTGGCTCTCCGATGCGCTCTCCATTCAAAGTTTTTAGTCCTTCCTGCTCTCGATATACACGGTCGAACACTGTTTCCCGGTCTTGAAGGAGATTTCCATACCTGCTGTAGAACTGAAGTCCGCTTGTTCGGAAACTTTCCACGGTCGACCATTCGTCACCCAGCTGTAGATAAAGAGAAGGTTGTTGACAAGAAGCAGTTGTGCAATTCTCCACCACGCCGGTGTCCACGATGATATACAGTGAACGATCCAAGTATACTCCTTGGTTTTCGTCCCAACAAAGACCGTTGAATGGAATAAGTACTGCATCCCTCAGAGAGAGGCAGACTGTAGATGCGAAAACGCCATAGAAACTATACTGGAGACGGCTGGTCAGGGCATCCTTCACATCCTTTACTGGTATTGTTAAGTGTTCCCATTTGAGTCGGTAATAGCGAGGATATCTATGCTTCCTGCAACGGTATTCTTGGTAGAGGCCGTGGGTGGGTAGCCTTATACTCGTGGCGGCCATCTCGGAAAGAAAGTAGATTGAGAAGAGTTAGTACTGGGCTGTGGTGTCCAGACTGCCATGTCTTGGGCGCATGTTCTACTCTTATATATAGCAGTGCAAACCAGAACAGGTTCTTAGCAGCATGCATACAGGTGGAAGGGCACGCTCCTGCACTACTAACTATGGGACGAAATCCTTTGAGCGACGTACGCCGAGACGAAGGGGCACAAGATCTACTTGGCATGCTCTATGATTGGATTATCTAGTAAGTACACAAGGTCTAAACGGCCATGCTTGTCGTTTGGGCCGCTTCATACCAAGGGCTCGCTGTCTCAATAGAATGGTCTACGACAGCCATCGGTGGGCTGAAGCGTGCCCCTTCTGAGCTTGGCACGCTTTCTGGGTTAGTAGCGTGGCACCCGGTGGGCAAAATAATCGATACTGTGGAGTACCTAGTAGTACTAGTTCAGCCGATGCAACACCATCAGCCCCATCAAAATATCCACCCATTCTTTTCAACACGTGGTATCTCCACCACCATGACAGCCCTCGCAAAAGTGATTGCGGCAATCGATTCTCAAAATGCAGAAGGTCAACTTTCGTACCGCGCAGCTGCAAAAAGGTTTGGTGCTGAGCTTACAACATTGACGCGCGGGCACCAAAACAAAACAGTCGCGAGCTGCAGCTGCCAAAAAAACGTCAGCTGCTCACTCCACCACAAAAATCCGAGCTTGTAAAATGTATAGGAAAAAACCATCAGAATGTGGCCTAACACCTTCCCGAGCGATATGTAGCATTCGTAAGGTGTAGGCTAATTGTGTAACTATAACTATTCCTTCCCCTGTGAATTACATGTATAAGTAAGCATTAAACTTGCTGCCCTGATTACTTGATTGAACTGCAATACGTAGTAATCGAGATGAAGTGAATGTAACTGCAGAGCTATGAGCACTGCGTATCGGACGCATCTATGCTTATATTCAAGGTTAACAAATCCGCCTAGATCGAAGATTGCAGCGTGCGATCGCGACTGTCTGCCATGCCAAATCGTGGAGCGTTCCAAAGCTATCGGACAACTACGCGAACCGAAAAGACCCAGTACATACTTATCAGTATTAGCGCCAAGACTGTAGTAGTCTAGCTCCGAGGATCTGCTTGCCCGCCTCCAATGTGTGCAACCAATTCCACCATCTGCAGTTTTGTACAGTCGTTCGCGACTGCGGTCTCGCCTCCGCGTCCCAAAAGTTAGATCATTACTGTACGATTGAAGATTGACCAATCATGTCGATTGTCCTGTGGCTGACATGTTGCGCTAAACTATTGACGGAAGATAAGGCTGTTCAAAACCGCTGCGCAGCTGCGTCGAAGGGCGAGGCTGCAACTGCGAACGGCTGTATTGCAAGCCTTCAGGTTTCATCGTTACTCTGCAGCTTGCTAACAAGGATCAAAACATTATGATAGCCTTGGCGGTGGCGACGGCAGTGATAACGGAGGTGAGCAGCGTGATACTTTCGAGACAGACCAGAGATTGAACCGTGCGGCCGGATTAGGCTGATTTGACGCTTTCATGTTTGCAGTTACGTACTTGCATTAGTGTCAGGTTCTTTTAAGCAAACGCGAAAACGCTCACCTCCCCGCCTCCCTCCCCCCGGCAAAACGCTTATCTCGATGATCCTGCTCACATTGTGTTGGCTCTGATTGTTTGCGTCACGCTAACACGTGTTCGACGAAGCGGCAGGTTGTGTTGGGTGTGATGACGACGAGGCAACGATCAAGGTCTACCGTACCTCCAACTTCCAAGGGCAAGCTCGCCTGTGTTCAGATTGCTTGCGCCAAGGCAAACATCTCACTCGACAAGGGCGGCAAGGCCAGCGACACTTTTGAGTTCAACCTACCAAGGCAGAACATCAGCCGGTATATGATGACCAAAATCTTGGCTGTGGTATATTCCAGCTGTTGGAGCATTGATGTGCCAGGCTGCGAGAGAGGTGCAGAACAGTGCATACGACATGATTTTTTGGCTAAGGAAGAGCTCATGGTCATGACGCCCTCACCACAATCTCCGCTTTGTCAACTGAATATGCGCAACACCACAACGGTGCCGGGTCGAAAAGCTCGACTACAATTGAAGTCGCAATCGCTTCCACGGAAGAGACACAGAGTTTTGCATCACCCGGATGCGCAACATGGACGTCCTTCTACATGGCCGCGGCTGCAAACGGCGTCCGCTACTTCCCACATCACCGATACTTGAGTTGCCTCAACGACATGCTCAGCTCCCGTTGCGACCCGCCCTGCCTCAACAGCAAATTAGCCAACCACCAGTTGTTTTGCCATGCCTGATCTATGATGTGGAGCCAACCAGAAAACAGACAAAGCCGTTGCGAAGAGTTGCCAAAAACGCAACCCTCCGACCCACGGGGTAAACATTGGTAGGTAATGTGAAAAGCACACCACTTCCTCTATTCAGCGGTTCCGTTCCTGCTGACCGTAAGGTGGCCTCTCACTAGTATGAACTATGATGGACGCATGCCATAGTGGATCTTATCCTCAAAGTGCTCTGCTTCCAAAGGATATCGGTCATAGGCCAGGCGAGAATCAAGTTCCCATTTGAACAGAGATGTAGGATATGATGTAAACGCACGACTTGTGTCGACTACATAAATTCTATACGCAACTGGAGTTTCAGACACGAAGCCTTCCGCATCGTAGAAGCTGGTTGGTCACTATTTCCCGACATCTTAACTAAACGTGGATGGCTAGAATATACATCGACTAGTTGTAGCAGTATTTATATAATAACAAGCAACCATGTCGTCTCGGCGAGCCTATGTGTGCGCTCGCCGTACGTTCCAAATCAGCATGTGCGGGGATGGTCAGTCAAATCGCGAGTCAGCCAAGTGTCTAACTATATAGAGCCTAAGTTTTGAGCCTCAGAGAGAGAATGCTTGGTGCACGGTCAAGAAGTTAACATCAAATTGACGAATGAAAATGCGTTAATATGAGACACAAGACAGCTCATGACTGCATTGGACCTGAGACTTGGTCGGTGTATAGTAGATATAGGCACGGTGGAACAGAAAGCTAGCCCAATGAAGTGTAAGCTTGCCAAAAAAGCGATACGAGCTAATTAGTTACTTTTGGGTTTCAGAGCTCCTCCAATGAGTCTTGTTCTTCATCCGTGTATCATCGCGGTCTTTTACGGGTTGTAGACTCAGTTTTGGCCTTAGTCTCAACAGGGCGAAAAGGATGACAACACATGATGACCTTACGGCTTACGATTCTATCCTTTATAAGATGACATGCTTCGCCCTATTCTATTCACGATGTTTATACTATGGAACAATCTCTTTTGTTCCGGCTCCCGCGTGAGCTACGCGATGAGATTTACAAGTACGCGCTGTATCATGCTGGGGGGCTCCTTTACACCATCGGCAAAAACGGTGTGGGGAGGCTTTGTAGAAAGGCAAGGAACAACTCGAGCCGCAAGAGCGTGCTCGCAAAACTTTACGACCGCTCACGTCGCATCGCAAAGGCGCAGGCACAGCGCCATGGTATCGACTACAATCAACTAAAGCATGTGTGCAGACAGCTTCGTGATGAATCGTCTGCGTTGAGTCCCCACGGTAACGTGGTATTTACGAAGGGCTCTTCGACAATGAATGCGTTCGAGCAGTGCCTAATCCTTTTCCAACAATTTCCAAAGGTCCGATCAGTTGCAATTAAGTGTTGTGAATCCTTTGCAAGTGAGTCATCCCAGGGCAAACTCTTTGAGACTATCCAAAAGTGTGCGGGTCACGCTCGTGTCTCCGTTAGGGTCCACATCCCTCACTGGTCTCTCGCAGATCCAGACTTTATCTTCCGCGGACTTTTCTATTTATACTCGCTTCGAAACGATGCTACACTCGTGTCTCGTCTTGCAAGAGTCTCCCCCGTGACGTATCTGTCCAATTCTGCCTCGGAGATACTAACAGTGGACCGGCCGATACCAAAGAATGTCCGATTCTATCCATGGAACGACACGTTCGATCAGCAATTATTCGAGCAAATTCGTCAGAAGCAACTCCTTTTTGAGCACCCCCAAACCCAGGCAGCTATCGGGAACATAGAAGGCCTTGCCCGCGCCTGGATCGAGAACGGGTTGTAGGGACTGTACCACCATCTCTCTGCACTAAAATGATGCTTGGTTGGAGCAGTCTGCATTAGTGTAGTTTTTTATGAAGAGTGCAATTGTCCTTATGGGTGGATTCATGTACTGAAAGCTTCCAACTAACATTAGTCAGTGCAGGCCACTGTGCTTCTGACAAGCGCCTAAACAAGGCACATATCAATGACAGATAGAGCCCCTCACTCAGAAAGTGATTAGTCGGATAAACCAATTCGTATATACCGGCAAAGATTGTGTTGCTTCGTCAACCACAAACTTAGCTTGCTTTCAAAACTGAATATTATACCGCCCTCTAACTAGCAGCAAAGAGAACGGAATGCTGACTTGATTCAAGAATGTGATCGAGAACGACTGGGAAAGACTAACTAAGTAGTTAACATTAGAGCGGTTTCATTTGCTTAGCACTACACGGAACTGTGTAGGCATAGCCCATTTCAGCTTTTTTTTCTTAAGTCTTGCATACTTTGTAGAGTCGAGGATAGAGTAAGTTTGTTGTACTTAGGTCTACTCTCGTATCATATCAAAGTCTTTCTCTTAACGTCCATCCCTGAGACCCGGGACGCACCCCGAGACGAGACGGTTTTGCACTTCGGGTTGGCGGGTGGGGTAAGGCGCTTACAGGCGAGTTGAGTGTGCCACAGTATGTGGGCATGTAACATGAAGCGAGGGTCGATGCCCCGCACCTAGTAGTACGTAACGTTATGCCAGTAATCCACCCACCGAAAGCACACCTGTCTTTGACCCCTGGTATTTCGAGGATTATGACTCAAGTTGCTTCGGCGACTCATATCTGGGCCGCTTGGTGCTATCCGAAAAAATTGATTTGTCGCCACGTCGCTGACGATCTTGGTACTGATCCATCCACGTTGAAGTGAGGTGAAACACGTCCTCAGTCCATCGCCCAGGCTAAGTATCAGAATCTCGACCTAAATCAGGGACAGAAGCTGATCTATGGCATAAGCCAACATCTTTGCAACTAACTACTTACTATCTTGGCACTATCTGGCTAGTAAAAGGACGCAATGGAAGCTATGAACCTGCACAGCCACAATAGTCAACTTCTTATCACACGCTACTCGTATTTTAAGTGCGGGGTCAATCTTGCACTAGACACATTTGAAGACTGCTTCGATCTTAAGTACCGACCAAATGTGGCAATCAGGCATGGGCAAGCGCGCGACAACCGCCACAATGGTGTGGTGACTTCATATACCTATAGGAACATGCAGAAACCCAGATCAGTTGGTTCGTCACCCTAGCAGACTTCTAGGCGTCAAGCGCTATGCTGTATAGCATGGGCTTGGATTTGGACATAATTGAAGGCTTGACTGTGCACGGCGCGTAGGCGTCAACGACGACGTAATTTTTGTATTTTAAAGTATAGAAATAGGCTAAAGAAGGCTAAGAAGCTATGGACAGAAGATTGTAGATTATTCACAGGCGCTTGGAAGATTATAATTCCTTAATCTCAAAGTACCTGGTGTTCGTCTCGCGACGGGGTGCGTCTCGTGACTTAGGGATGGACGTTAGACTATTTCTTGTCCCATGTAGGCCAGGCTGCTGGGGTCAATTCTGTTTGATATTCGGAGATGGAAGATAGATGCCAAATCAACCGTACAACCTGGAAGAGGAATGGCTATCTTACGAAAATAGAACTATCAAAGGCTCACCACCAGGCTTACTACCATGCCAGTTACATAACCGTGAATGTCTCGAAGGGACTTTGAGACGCCAGGTGAGTTCGATCTAACTTAATGTCAAGATTTCCTCTGCAGAACCATCTAGAAACTGTAGGAGACCTACCCAAGTGCGCAATAATACCGCAGCGGACGTTTATAAAGGTCCTAACTATATAGAGATTATCATTCACCGATTTGCATAGAATAACTAGCGGCAAACAGCATGACGTAGGTAGTGCAGTTTGATGATCAACCATGAAAAATCAATTTTGTATAACTATTGTATGTGAGATGGAAGACCATTACAAATGGGAGGGTTCTGAATGAAGTGAATGTAGAAATATCCTACGGTGCATGTATTCAAGGCCATCTCTCTGGACTTCATATTTGATTGGGAACGATTTCGTTTAACCCTAGTCTAGACATATCGACTGAAGGTGGAAGCCCTAACAAAAGATCGCTCGTCATCTTGGCTCTTCCCATAGAATTCACCATTCCATCACCATCATGTCCTGTGTTGAGGAACAGGCTCCTTATAGTCGACAATGCTCGTTTTACTTCTGAATTTTCCGTAGTAGTGTCACCTTCAAAGCCCAGCAGACTCCATTCAATGTTAGTAATGATTGGGTGCACAGATGTAGATAGTGACCTGTAGCACCTTTGGACATCATAGAGTTGATATGGACAGCCCCTTATAAATACGAACGTGCAGATAGTCGAACTGAGCGAGGACTAGGAAAAGACTATTAAGGTTGCTTGCTAATACATAAACAGCGCAATCTACAGCACCATTGTATTCGAGCGCGTAGATGCCGCCAACGCAGTATAGACAATTCGGAAACAAGCTTTCCCTCGCCTTCGTGTACATGCCCAAACTCTATCCTCTTCTCCTAAGTGATATCTGGCACACTAAATCCAGACTCTCTGCCCTAATTAAGCGCACTATGAACCTCGTTGAAGTCGTCGCGCCAAACTTGCCCATCTTGCGCATGGACCTTGAAATCCTTAGGAAGGTTCAGCAGCAGCAGGGTCTTGGGTAAGGTTACAGAGACTCAAAGAGTGGACGCAGCCAGAGGGTAATGTCTCGTGGATTTTGCTGGATTTAGTACAAGTCAAACTTAATTCCTAAAAAATGTCCTCAACTTGTTGCACTATGAAATGGTCGTTCTGTTTGATTGGAACCTTAGACGGAGCCAGTGGGACTTGTGAGCGAACAGTGCATTTTATCTATTCGTTAAATCAATAAAATCTATAGACAATGGTAAAGAAATTGTAGGGTCATAACTCGACACGTCCCTATCTCTTGGAACTATAGACCTCTATGCAACTATGTGCATCGTTAGGGGACTCTAAAAATAAAAACCAAACTCCTTCTGCTCAACTTTTTAGATCCAGGGTAGTAATCTTGCATATTTCCTTGAGGTCATTGATGAGCAGCAGCACGGGGCTCTTCTTCAATCGTTTCAATGAGCTTCATGCCCAGTTCGTAAAAAACCCCTTCTGGACACTAATCGCAGTATGGCGCTAAAGCTCCCATGAATGTCGATGAACGCTACGTAGGGTTATGGAACACTGACTCGCGTTAGTTTGATTCCCCTAGGGATCTCTGGCGGTATTATAGAAAGTGCTCTTGGGCGACTCGGCAATGCGTAGTTCGTCCAGTAGAAGATGATGATATAGCGACTGCCCTCCACGCAGTTTCCAGATGAGCTTCAAGAATTCCAATTGGACGTCTCGAACAAACGGTTCTGTTGAGTAAAATTTGTCAATGTCAGTCAGACAACAGGCTATTTTGACCAATTTTTCGATCTGCAGTTCTATCAGCTAATGATCGAGCTCACAGATAAGGTAAAACGGTGCAAGTGTAGGATGTGCATGAACGACTAGGGGCGAAGCTAGGTGGGGCGTGGACATTAGAGTTAGAAGTTGGCTAGCGCGGGTCTAGTAAGATCATGATATGACAAGGATCTCAGCACGAGAAGGAAGAGCTGGAGCGGGCGTGAACTCCAATGCTATGATAGGAACAAGCAAGCAAAAGAAAATGAATCTACTTACCAAGTCGACGCGATAGACGTCTATGAATTGTTGTGAGAACTGGTTAAATATGGCGAGGAGATCGCGGGCAATCGTGATCGGGTATTCGAATGTAAGCGGCGCGTCTTTGGAGACGCTACTTAGAACCTTGTGACGGAAACTGAGCTCCCAGATCTGTAACCTCAGCCATTGCTGAGTGATACAGATTTGCGCCTCGTAGCGCTCGAAAGATGCAGGAACAGCCTCTGAAAGGCACTTATGCAAATCTAATATGTATACATCGTTCACACTTATCGCTGTCTTGTGCCGCAAGTCGATAACAGTGTTATCAATGATTTGAAACATGTTGATCATGATGTTCAATCTAACTGAAATGAAAGGACCGAAGGTCATTCCAGCTGATTGGGGAAGGTTTATGGTGGGATGTAATGTGACACGTCGGTGTTTGCGTAGAGCGTAGGTTCTGGTAAGTTATCAGAAGATGAAGTAAAATGTAAAAAAGTTCCCAGAGCAGGTGGAAATACCGTTCAGCAATGAACAAAAGCCAGTAGAGGGCACGTGTTTCGGGTGCATCCAAGGAATCGTGTTTATAGGTCTCCTCATTGTGCATACCCAGAATTTGCGCGTATCGTATAGCTTCTTGGAGATACATCCAGGCTTTGTCCTCTTGCTCCAGTCCAAAGTAGCAGCCACTGTAAAACCACGAGGTAAGCACGCTCATGTGCGTGGGGGCCTTCTGGTGGTCGTAGCCTTGTCGCTCGCGGACTGATTCTTCCAAGAGTCTCTGACCGATATCGAAATTTGACATGTGAGCCATCTCTAGAGAGAGCACGTTGGTAGGTGGGTTGTAGTTGGCCTTAACTATGACGTATGCACACAGTGCAGCAATTATACAGTACGATTCAGTGAAGCTTTCCATGTAATAGACTGCTGCCAGCGCCCTTTCGCGGTGCAGGACGGGCTCTGAGAAGTAGACATGGCTGAAGAAGTATTCTATGCAGCTATTGATGAGAGCAAGGGGTAACAACAACCCTTGAGTGTGATCAAGTGTGGCAGGATTTGAGTATCCGCCACAGTTGAGAGCGGTTGAGTGACCGGCAGCGAGCTGATCGTCGGGCTGATTTTTGCGAAGTTCACGGAGGACTTTGCCGCGACTGCCCTTACTAGGGCCTTTCTGTTGCGGGATGGTATTGTATGTGCATGAAAGGCCAGCAGAATTACAATTTTTGCAATCCGTGATTCCTGGGACGCACTTAACTTTTCTGCGGCGGCAGCTGTACAGGTCGACAGTGTGAGTGTGGGAGCATCGATGTTGAGTGTACGGACGGTACGTACCTATCGCATGCTCGCTTAGCCAGAGCCTTCGTGTGGTTTTCAGCCATTGGCTTTACTTTATTCTGTCACAAGAAGAGATGTCAGTAGCTTGAAGGAAGTGAAGGTCTCTAAGTATCGAATATATACCCATTTTACAGGTCGATTGGATGAAGAAAAGAACCGGGATAAGGCAAAAAGGGGGAACGGCAACGTGAGCAAGGAGTCCAAACTGCACAGCTTGGCTAGGATCAACCATCCTTCCACCCGTCTCATCGCATCCTAGACCTCAAGCCGCACAAGCCGCACATGCCACCTGCTCCTGCACATCCTAAAACATCCTAGGTTCTTCATGCTAACCGAGACAACAAGTAGTCCGTCTTCGATGATGACTGGCCATTAATCAACATAGATATTTCCGGAGTGTAGGGGGAAGGAGACAAGCCAAAGTGGGCGGAGTAGGGCAAATATAGCAGGAACCAGGGCTATTCAAAGGATTTCCTGTAGCCGGTGCATTATTTTTCCATCAGAAAAGACAAGGAGTTGAGGTTGAAAAGGAAGCTGCTTGGGTGGAGCTATCTTACCTTTTTCAATGGATTTCATATGATAGATCTAGTCTTTGTTCATCTATTGCTAATTCTGACTGCATTATCCACTCTCTGACTGCTATTTCACAACACGACTCCCATGAGCTCTTTTGTGGTGTGTTGTCTTTTTGTTTCCACCTTGGCCTCATCGAAAGCCGCTAAAACCCACCAAGCATCACATGCTGATTTTTGACTCTATATGTTGTAACATAAACATGCACCAATACGCTAGAGACACCGATTAGATTGCACAGTTGTCCACTGTTTTTCATGTTCGTCACATGCTGAGTCTCTTACCACGATTTGAACCACTAAACCCAACCCAATTTACTCCCTGGCAGTCAGCTAGATCCACATAACAGTAGTGGTGTATCTTTTTCCAATGCATCGCCTAGTAGGGATGTGCCTGAGTCCCAATGCATGCTGGCGGTAGGACTGGGAGCACGGGCACGAGTGGCATCCTCGGGA